TTTGCCCCTGTTACAAGGATGGAGACAATTCGGCTACTCATCTCACAGGCTGCTCAATACAGATGGCCAATACATCAAATGGATGTAAAGTCGGCATTCCTGAATGGTGTTCTTGAAGAAGAAGTTTATGTGGAACAACCGCCGGGCTACATGAAGGCAGGAGAAGAGAAGAAGGTGCTGAGATTGAAGAAAGCACTTTACGGGTTGAAGCAAGCACCACGAGCATGGAATGCTCGTATTGACAAATATTTCAAGGAGAATGGACTTGAACAGTGTCCATATGAACATGCTGTTTATGTCAAGAAAAATGGAGGAGACTTGTTAATTGTGGCTCTTTATGTTGACGACCTCATTTTTATGGGAAACAATGCCAAGATGATACAAGAGTTCAAGAGCACAATGACAAGAGAGTTCGAAATGACAGATCTCGGTTTTATGAAGTTCTTTCTCGGTTTGGAAGTAAAACAAAATGAGAAGGGAATTTTCGTGTCACAGGAGGCTTATGCAAAAAAGATTTTGAAAAAGTACAAGATGGAAGATTGCAACCCGGTTTCAACACCAATGGAACCCGGTTCAAAACTTTCTAAGTTTGATGGAGGAGACCATGTTGATGCAAGCAAGTACAGAAGTTTGGTGGGAAGCCTACGCTATCTCACATGCACGAGGCCGGATATCTCGTTGAGTGTCGGCATAGTAAGTCGGTTCATGGAGGAGCCAAGATACACACATTGGAAGGCGGTAAAGAGAATTCTGAGGTATGTTCAAGGTACAGTTTCACACGGGTTACGCTACTCGAGCTCGGCAAAATACAAGTTGATTGGATATTCTGACAGTGATTGGTGTGGAGACGTAGATGATCGAAAGAGCACGGCTGGTTATGTGTTTTTCATGGGCAACACGGCATTCACTTGGATTTCGAAGAAGCAACCTATTGTGACACTGTCGACATGTGAAGCTGAATATGTAGCTGCATCTTGGTGTGTTTGTCATGCAATGTGGCTCAGGAATTTGCTAAGCAAGCTGGAGGAAAAACAAGTCGGCCAAACTGTGATCCGAATTGACAATAAGTCGGCTATAGAGCTAGCCAAGAACCCGGTAAATCATGAAAGAAGCAAGCATATTGACGTCCGATTTCACTTCATCCGGGATCAAGTAAAGGAAGGAAATGTGGAGCTAACACACGTGACCAGTCAAGAGCAAGTCGCGGATATCTTCACGAAACCACTACCGACGGTACTCCTTGACAACTACAAGAAATTGATCGGCATGAATGATGGCAGAAGCATTTAAGTTTACGGGGGAGTTTTGTTGAATAAACGTTAAATGTGGAGTTATGTGTCAGTTTAATTTTTAATGGGTTTAATTCAGCAATCAATTTAGTTTTTAATGGGTTTAATTCAGCAAACGTTAAATGTCAGTTTTATGTTTTTAAGTTTCTGAAATTATGTGAGTTTATTGTGATGTTAAGTGTCTTTATTGTAGAGTTACAAGTTTTGTAATTTAAAAATCTATTGTTTGAATGAAAAGTTACGACTTCTGCCTTGGTAAAAATCCTTTGTTTTACTCTTCTCCTAACATTCAACGGAAATCAACATCCGAATCAATTTGCACTCCAACGGCTTTATCGCTGATATACTTTTTTACAGATGCCGATTTGGAATCGAATCCAGAGACCCGCCAATTCCTCTCTTTGCATCTCGGACTTTTGCATCATTTTAGCTTTGGTCGATCTCGATCGGTCAAGAAGATCTGGATTACGCTTTAATACTTCTTTCTCTGATTGATTCAAGTGTATAAAGCCTTAAAGATGGTTTGGATATATGTCTTTATTATCCTGTATATCTCTGTCGTTTGTGAGAAATGAGAACAAAATATAAGTATAAAAAACTTATCTCCTTATTTTCATTATTTCAAGAGAATTGCTGTCTTGTGGTAAACTCGGCTGATCTGAATATTTTATAGGTTACAGCCGCTCTGCATAACTTGCAAAGACTTTGATTGTCAAGACCATTTGTGCTTGGTTCTACGGCATGTCTGCCTTATATAACTCGGCTATCCCTTCTGGATGTTGATTCGTGGTAGGGAGACACCTCTGCACCTCGCGGTGCATCTTGGGGATCAGGTCCCTGTGTAGATTCTGATGGCTACATCGAGCTTTTCAATACTGAAATTATATGTTACCTGATGTCATAGTATATTCATCCATGCGAACTGGATGTATACGGGAATTGACAAGTGTCATAATTATAAAATGCTTCTAATATGTAGTGATTTTGGAGCCTTTTCAAGCTGTTGTATGAAGATTTTCAACAGGCTTGCTTTTCTCAAATATGCACGTTGCACGGTTCACATGGGTTTTATATCATAAAAATTCCAAAAGATAATTCAAATTTAACATAGGAGGACTTATCTCTTTAGGATTGATTGGTGAGTCTTCATTCTTTGGTGAGATAGTGGGCCCTGTGCCGATCACCCAATTCACTTGTGGACTTCCCTTTTTATTGTTCTTAACTCGGTTTGAATGAAGATAGCCCATACAAGACTACAGGTGTGCCAGAAGATTCCCTTTCTGTAACCTTTTGCTTCTCTTTTTTGAAACCAAGCAATCATTTGGCGAAAATGAGAGACCTCATAGCACGGCCCACAGGATTCCTTATTGGAGATATTTGGCCAGGTTTGTTCTTCAATATAGAAGTTTAGCTAGCTACTCTTGGAAACGTGAGCATCTACTTAATTTTATTGCTTCTTCGTTCAAAGCTGTAACCATGGTGTTTGTACCCGTACAGAAAAGTGCTCCTGCCATATCATTTCTTTGTGGGACCCAGCTGTAGCTATTAAAAAATTGGACAGCAAACAAAAAACACATGTACTTCTAGCAAAACCATGTTGCTTCTAGTGCAACGTGTTTGCAAATTATATCATAATGTGTCAGTTTGGAATCTTATGAAGACATGTTTGTAGCATTAAATATATTATATATATTATTCAAAATATTGATATCCTTTCCTCATTTGAGCTATATCATATGAATTGAAAGGAAAGAAATAAAATCAAATGAAATCAAATTAAAGTAGAAGGGGTTATTTCCTTATCTGACTCATATTCTGTTCAATGGAAGTCAATTTCTTTGGAATGGTTATTGCCTTGCATGATGATGTCTTTAATGGCTTATTCTGTGTTATCCCGCCCTCCAATATGAGATGATGCTAGCATACTGTCACTACAAGAAATACGTTGCTTAACCACATTTATTTAACCACACTTTCTGAAATGATGGACGGACAAAAATATTCTCAAATTTACAACATTGTTTATTAAATGTAGCAAAATTATTTTAAATTATTAAAAAAAAATTATGTGTGTTTTATACTTGTACCAAAAAACCGATCTACTTTTTCTGCTTCGATCCCTAAATCCCAAACTCTAGGGCAAAATCTCTAACTTCATCTTTCTCTCAGGTGACTATTTCATCTTTCATATCTATGCATCTTTTCATATCTATGCATTTCTTCAATGTGAAACTTGCAACCTAGTTAAATCGTTGATAAATCCTCACGAACACTTTTTTTCGAAATTTCTCACCATAACTCCCCTTTAATCTCACTCAAATTTCACTCTGACATTGAAATCACTGCTAAAGACAGAGACCGCATTGTTCATCCACAAAGACGACAGGGACAAGCTCGTATATATTGGTAGCTATCGTCTTCTTCGTACAGGTAGACTTTCGCTGCCGTTTTCTTCATATTAACTTTCAGCACATTATTAGCTGTGTATTGGTTGATTAGTGATTAATATTAACGAATAAGAAGCTTCCTCAATGCAAATCGCAGGTGAATAATCCTCTGTTTTAACTCTTTTTTTCATTTTTGTTATATTATATATATTTTATTTGTTTTAACGAATCAAGACTCTTGAATCTTGATGTCGAATTTTGTTATACTCACTAATGAGTGGTTGAAAGCATCATTGGCTTTTGAGTATTGTGGTCTCTTAGGCGAGTGGTGAGTGACTAGTTAGTAAATAAATAAAAGAGTGAATGGGGCAGTGTATCATAACATAAAGGGAAGGTGAGTATGTCCCACTGTGACTTTTGTGATAAACGCAGCATGAATTCTTTTAGGTTTAGCCTACAACTGTGTAAATTAAGCTAATAAAAATCGCAAACATCATTATTGGTAAGTTAAAAAAAAATGTACACAAGTTGTGAAGGAATAAGAATTAAGAAGTGAAGCAGATGCTAAGTTAATTTTTATTTTAATTTAATTATTACATTATTACTTTTTTTTGAAGGGGTTGGGGGTGTTAGATGTCACTTTTTTCTGACTCAATTGGTTCAATGCCTTTCTGCATTTTCTGAATTTTCTGACCTAATTGATGCTTTTGGCAATCAAGTAGCAACCAGCAAGGTTCAGACTGGAGTAGTTATTTGCATCTTATATTTTCCTATTACTTTTTAGTTTTGAATTATTTACTCGCTAAATAATCTTTAGTTTGCTGGTACACCTGGATTTGGATTTGGTCTTTGATTCAGATTTTCTGATTTTTTTTTTCCAGATTCTATGGTTTATAAAAACTAATAACATCTTAAATATTTGAACTTTTCTTGAATTTGGACGATGAAAATTGGCTTTTTGGTTATATCTATAAGTCCAAATCTTCACTTTGTTGGTTTGAATCATGAAATGAAGTTACAACGTGATGTCTAGTTTTGTACTTACAAGCTTTATTGTCTCAGCAATGCAGTTTCTTTTTTTATAGAAAGAGGAGCTGTTCAAAGCAGCTGACAAGAATGGAGATGGTGTTGTGAGCATGGCTGAGTTAGCTGCCCTTCTTGCTTTTCAACAAGAAAAGTAATACAGAGACTAAAAGCTTTTATTTTGTTTGCCTATTGTTGTCTTTGCCATCAGTGCAAATATATTTATTATTTTCATTTGTATAGCTATATCTTGTTTTAAGATTTGATGTGTAAATTTCTTTTTGCAAACTATTTGATTATTATTTGCTTAGCTAAACTTTTGGTATTGTAGGGAACCGTTAATGAATTGTTATCCTATTTGTGGTGAGGTTCTTTAGATTTCTGACTTGTTGAACAACATGATCCTCTTAACTCTTTGTTTTGATGAAGGGACTGGAAATCAGGTGATGGCTGGAGGATTCTTAACAGATAAGCAAGCTTCATATGGGTAAATTTCTGCAAATTATTGCTAATTGAGGCATTGATAGCCAGGGTAAAAGAGAGAGCATGATCTTTATTGGCCTAATGGATTATATTACAGCTTTTAGTGTCATATTTGGACCATGCTTATGTATTTGTGATTGTATATCAAGATAAAATATAAAATCACTTATTTATTTTGCTTTTTATGTAGGTGGTTCTTCAAATTGAGTGAAAGGTCCCATTTCAAATTGAGTCAAAAAAAGGTATTGGCCTATGGACGTAGGTATGATCTTTTTTTGTTTTAATAAGTTCTAAGCTGCAACTAATGGACATAGGTATGATTTTAATTGAGGAGTTTTTGTTTCTTCATTTTTTAATTTATTTCATCTTTCTTCATATTTCGTTCGCAGCAATCACAGTTTCTTCAAAGTTTTTGTCCTCTTTTTATTCTAGCTTAGCACTTTTCACCTTCATCTTTAAAACTTCATCCATGGAGGATCGATAAACTCTAGGAAAATCCAGGTGCCTTATAGTTCGATTTGAAGTCAAATCAAACCTGCAGGTACATATGTTATAATTTCTATTTCTCCTTCTCTTGCGTCATCAGGTAACTTCCTCTTCCTCACTTTCTCTGTCTCTCCTTGATCTCTTACCGAATTTTGTTAATTAAACTATATAACTGCTTAATTGGACCTAAATTTTTTATTTTCTTATATAACTATTTTTTATTTTTTATTCACTACATGGGAATAAGTGCAGTGGATGTAATCACCACCGTGATTATAAGCTTGAACTTGGTTGCTATAACAGCTTTGTTAAATATTTTCTTTTTGCTATGTATTCATTTGGGCTTAGCTGCCATAGTTTCTACTGGCATTGGTGGGCTTCGTAGACATCTATCATTTACTGAACCTACTGGTAAGATCATATAACCTTGATTATACAGTGTGTGACAACATGCATCTCTAATAGTGTTTGTTTGGAACAAGGAAGAGCTTATATGATTTTCAAATAAAGTTTATTTAATGATCCTAGTGTAACAGAGTGGATGTGGATAATCAACTTAATTTTTTACTTCTTAAATAACTTTAAATTCAAATTTGCTGTCTTTTTCACCTTTTCTCTTTATGTTCTTTTGCCTATTTACTTAGTGGTTGTGTAAATGTTCGGTTCTTATAATTTTCAGCAGTTGTGTAAGAATATTTATTAAAAATAACAAACTTCTTATTTCATGTATGAAACAGATGCAATTCCAAATACTAAAAGCCTCCAAAATCTCTTTTGGAGTCTTTGGAAGCTCTCCATAAGGATGACTTCTTGAAGGAATTTATTGGTGATAAGTTGCTGATTGCCATAAAAGCACTTCGAAAGGTATGTATTTCGGCTTAGATGCTTTTAAATTTATAATTCCTTAGAGTAAATAACGATTTTCATCTTGCTTATATGAAGCTTTTAAAACGAAGCTTCAGGATTATGGTATAAATTGGTCGAGTGAGAAAGACTATTGTGTAGAGCTCACCTATTATTCAAAATATCTAATGAATAATCCTGGAAAAAGCTCATATAATGACTTTGTCTTTAAAGTGGGCAAGTAATGGTGTATTCACCCTTGAATTTTAGTAGGTTAAGATCATCAATAGGCAGAATTTTGTTGCTTGTTGCTTGATGTGATTTATCATGCACAGGCAGAAATTGATCATTACACAAAGCTCAAAGATGCATACAAGTGCCCGAAAATCGTCAATTTGATACAAATTACATTCGACTTTTCTGTATGTAAAAACAGTAACTGCCTTAGGTGCCATTGGATTCAGTAACCCTTATTTTGGTTATTTGTTCAACAGTTATTAAAGATCCATAATGCTGAAGTTAAATAACTGTGATGCAAAGCAATATTATAGGAGAAATATATTGTCTTGTTTATATGGAAGTACTCAAAAGATCGCACCTAGTTAATTTTGGAAAGGAACATTTTTATTTTTTATTTTTTGGGTTGAGTGGCATATTAAAAAAGAAATAAAAATGTATTTTTTTTTTATTTTCTCCCTACAAATTAGTCACATTTTTAATGTGGCTAATTTCAAAATAATCGTGGCCAAAATAACGCTACCACACTCATGACAGCAGTAGCAAAGCGAGAAGAAAAATGTGGCAAAAAAAATGCCACGCCATGATTAGCCATGGTGGGCAGAAGTGTGGTAGTTTTTTTTAGCCACGTTTTTTGTTTACATTTGCCACATTTTTGAACGTGGCTAAAAGACGAATTTTTTGTAGTGTGTGGTGCATTATGCATGGGGCTCACACCACATTTTTTTCTTATTTCTCGCATAGAAACAAATGCTCAGTAATAGAGTATCAAGAAGACAATCAACGATTTATTTAATTCAATCAGCAATCAGTACTAATTATCCCACAATCAGCAATTATTTTGATTCAATGTAATAATTAATCAGCGACAATCAATAATTAATAATAATTAATCAGCAATAATTTCATAATAAATATGACATTATTGACATTATCGATATTACTCGACATTCTGAATTCAAACTGATCATTTTCTCACAGTAATTTTGAATCCATATATCCCGTCCACCTATCTCGACTAACAACAATTGATATCGCCGGACTCAGGCTTGGCCCAACACGGACTCAAGCTTGTGCACACAATAGTGCTTACATCAGCGGCTTTGTTGTGCGCTGAGCTTTCAAGGAATCAATTATCGTCACAGTGCATCATGGATGACAAAAGTGTTAATATATCTTTCTTGACTTGAAGGTGTCTTTAAATCATTCTACATTTTTGTCAAATTTGCTCGGATTTCCATGTGTCTTCAAAGTTGTCATTTGCATTTGTCAAATTTGTCCTGGAGACTAAATTTGTGAAGTTCACGTAGATCATGTGGCAGCATGTTTTTTGGTCTCTTTGGATCTTTTTCTTTAATATTAATATAATATTATAAAGATAATCCAAATAATATTAAAAATATAATCCTTTTATCAGATATTCATATAAAATATCAAAAAGTTTCCTTTTATGAAATATTGATATATGATTTCACAAAAATGGATCTTTTCCTCAAAAGATGAATCTTTTTCCTTCTTCCAGTGTGAATTTAGAATATAAAAAGAAAGTAGACTAAGCTTTTGTTGACTTGCCCCTTTCTTTTTAACCCCGATGTCAGTCACAATCTCGTCTTGATCTCGGCCACGATCCCGAGGATGGTGGTGGTCACGATCTCAATTTCATCCCAAGGACAGTGATCGGCCTTGAGATGTTGATGAGCTTCATTTTTGAACTTTGCATCCATCGTCTTAGGATTTGGATGTGGCGGCGACTACTGCGCTTTCACCAATATTGGGTGGGAATCGAAGTTTATCGGGTCCCCACAGACAGCGCCAATGTTCTGTCTGAAAGACAGAGATGTCCGACTGGTGGCTGGTATATTTTATGTAGGATCTAGGTGCCCTCTCTCAAGTATCTATGAATGAGATACCCTTTAGGGTAGGCCGATCACTGTGCACAGTAATAATCGACATAGTCAAGGTGTGGGGTGTGTGCACAGTGACAAGCTAAGAGAGAGGGTAGGCCAATCACTGTGCACAGTGATAATCGACATAGTCAAGGTGCACACACCAGTGACAAGCTAAGAGAGAGGGTTTAGAGAGTGTGTACCTTATTGGTTTAACCTCGTATTTATAGATGGTTTACCTGAAGGAGTGTACTTCTGGGCCTCTTAGGAATATTGGGAGCCCAAGTCCAATTCTTTAGCTGTCTGGATAGGATCGTCATCAATAGGAAATTCTCTTCCTTTTGTGCTGTCCTTTATTGGTCCTTCTAGAATATGGGCCTTTTGTCAGGTCCATAACACTACTAAACATTAGAAATAAATAAAATAATTTTAGATATCACGTCTGGTTGTTTGCCAAGAAATGGATTATATTTCATTAGAGTAATTAAACGTATTAGGGAAGATATACATGTATTAATGATCTCTTTGGTATAATTAATATATAATGCTGAATAATTTTTTCCTCTCAGATAAACATGGACCGCATTGCAAATAGAAGTCAAGCAGCCATTGACTAATGAGTAACTGGCTCAAAAAGAAAAGTCATGCACGTAATATTACACCGACAAGGTATTTTTAACACTTTTATTTTATGTTTTTGCAAAAAAAAGTGAAAGAATTTATTTTTTAATTCTCTCTTTCTTCTTTTATTTCATAAAAAATTATTCAAAATATCATTAAACAATTATTATAACTCAAAAATTTAAATTATGGGATAAAATTATGAGTTTAATAGTTTTTCAGTTACATGAGATAATTTATTTCGTGTAATTCAAAACGGTATCGATTTAAAATAGAAAAAAAATAATTTTGTAATTTTAAATTTATTTTGGACTAATTAGTCTTTATTATTATAATTTTTTAACTCAATTCTAAAACTATAACAAGTAATAATTTTATCTCGTGTAAACGGAGAATTATTAAATCTAAAATTATATTAATAATTTTATATTATATTTTAGTATTATACTCATCTCACGTATTTATTGGGTTGAAAAGTAAACAGGACATAAACTCATCTAGTTGTACGTGTTAAAAATTCCACAGCGCTTGTATGAACTGTCAAAAAACAATAGTGTCATATTATGAATATTTCTACTGGAGTAATTATATACATAAATGAAGACTATAGGTCCATTACAAATTAATTGTCAATCAGCTATGAATAAAGAAATGAAATAACCTGTTACTATTTCTATTTAATACAAAACTCTTATGATTATGTCAATCAACTGCAAATAAGAAAATTAATCTATTTAATACAAATCTCCTATGATTATGTAATCAGTGATTAAAATTCCAACAACTGTACAACTCAGCAAATATTATATCATTTCAACACTCCCCCTCAAATTGGTGCATAGATATCAATCATGCCCAACTTGCTAATTGCTTCTTCAAACACTTTTCCTGATACAGCCTTTGTCAAGATGTCGGCTAACTGATCTTCAGATTTGATGTAGGAAAATTGAATAATTGTTGATCTAGCTTTTCCTTGATAAAGTGTCTATCCATTTCTACATGCTTGGTTCTATCATGTTGAACTGGATTATGGGCAATTTCAATAGCAGCTTTATTATCACAATGTAACTCCATAGGCTGATTGTAGTAGATTCCTAAGTCTTGTAGGATGCTCTTAATCCACAACAATTCACACACTCCATGTGCCATTCCTCTAAACTCTGCTTCTGCACTCGATCTAGCCATAACTTTTTGCTTCTTACTCTCCAAGTAACTAAATTGCCTTCAACAAAAGTAAAATATCCCGAAGTTGACTGTCTGGTAGTTTTATCTCCAGCCCAATCTGAATCTGTGTAGCCTTTAATTCTGGGACTATTGTTTTTTGAGTAAAGCAGACCTTTCCCTGGACACCCTTTTAAATATCTCAATATTCGATACATAGCAGCCATGCGTTCCTCACTTGGCTTGTGCATAAATCCGCTCACAACACTAACTGCATAAGCAATGTCTGGCCTAGTATGTGATAAATAAATTAGCCTCCCTACTAGCCTTTGATATCTGCCAACATCAGTATGTACTTGATCAGGATATAAACTCAATACATGATTCATTTCAATTGGTGTTTCTGCTGGTTTACATGTTGTCATTCCTGTTTCTGCAAGTAAATCTGAAATGTACTTTTTTGTGACAAAATAATTCCCTGATTTGATTTAGCAATTTCAATTCCAAGGAAGTACTTTAATGATCCTAGATCTTTCATTTCAAACTCATTTGCTAAATGTCTTTCCAATAACTCCATTTCAAATAAATCATCACCAGTCAAAACCATATAATCAACATACACTATTAACATTGTTACCTTTCCTCCATTATGTTTTATGAATAGGGTGTGGTCTGCATTACTTTGTTTGTATCCAAACTTCTTCATGACTAGAGAGAACCTGCCAAACCAAGCTCTAGGTGATTGCTTGAGGCCGTATAGTGCTTTTTTTAATCTACACATTTCATTTCCCTTCAAGTTGACATGTTTGGCGCCTGGTGGAATTTGCATATACACTTCTTCTTCTAAGTCTCCGTTTAAAAATGCATTCTTTACATCAAATTGATTGAGTGGGCAGTCTCTGTTAGCTGCTATAGAAATCAGAATACGAATTGTGTTCAGTTTTGCTACTAGTGCAAATGTATCTTGATAATCAACTCCATATTTTTGTGCGTATCCTTTAGCAACTAATCTGGCTTTATATCTATCAAGGCTGCCATCTTCTTTAAGCTTCACAGTAAACACTCATTTGCATCCAATTGGTTTCTTCCCGGTTGGTAAAGGAATCAGGTCCCACGTTGAGTTTTTTTGTAAGGCCTTCATTTCTACATTCATGGCTTCCTTCCAATTTGGATCATCCAAAGCATCCTGCACATTATTAGGAACAAATATACTAGACAATTGATTAACATATGCTATATATGATTATGATTGGACATGTAGTTACCGATAGGGTATTTGACCTTAGAGTTTGGATCTGGTTCATAAAGCTGTTTTGGTACACCTTTATTTGGTCTTTGTGACACTCTAACAGGTAAGATGGGACCATCTATGCTAGTAAAAGAAGGTCCATTTGAAGAAATAGGAGTAGGATTAGTGTTTACCTCAGGTATGGATTCAGGAACATCTAGGGACGATGCCTCAGTTATAGGTGTTAGACGCGTAGCAAAATCATTCGTGGGAGGGGTAACATCTGGTCCAGGAGTGTGTTGAAGAGTTATAATTTCTTCTTCAGTAGTAGGTATCT